CGCCTTCGTCATGCAGCAGCCTTTACTTATTTTGGTGATTCGAAGCGAGTTTGTTGCTTTAAAGCCAGTGGCTAAGAAAAAACTGCAGCTGCGAGCATTCCGTTCCTTCTCGACTTTCAGCCTGCGCTGCGTCCAGGACTGTGCTTGAAATTTCTCAAAGACCAAAAAAGTGCTTTTTATGGCTTTCTCCGAAATTGTTGAAGGGGTTGGACTTGACCCCCGAAAAACAAGGAATGGCTCAGGAGACTGTATGGGTGGAGCCGCTCATTTTGACGTCAATTGTTGATTTTCTCCGGTAGCCAAACTCGTCTTGGCGGGAATTCCAAGCCCAGCCCCCTCCAGCAATCTTCAAAACAGGGAAAGTCATAAAATGCACTTTTTTGTCAAACTCGAGAGAGTACAAATAGTGCTGAACTCAGCGCATCCAGAAGGCGAAGGAGGCATGAAAAGCTCGCAATCGCAAATTTTCCCGAGCCGCTGCCTTCAACAAGTATTCTATACTGATAATTTACTTTTCAGCTGGTTCAAACTGATTTCTGATCAGATTGAAAACGACAAGAAACATCAAACGCGAGGAATCGAGTAAGTAATTTTATATGCATTGAGTGCAAAAGCCAGTGTCACTCGGCGTTCTATACTAGTTGTAACGCTCAGCAAAGCCGCTATCAAAGAATACAACCAACTGTGCTCACAATATTTGAAGTTTTCCAGGCATTGCAACTTCGAGGTGGGGACAAGCTCGTCTTTAGATTCGGACGGTTTGGCTAAAGTATGGGTTTACATATTTTTACAAACAGTCAATCTCATGTCCACCAGTTTAAGGTCCACGTGCTGACCCATCCTCGTCTCGTCCATGCGTCTGAAATCACTATACAACAGCCAACTGTGCTGGAACATGCTCAACCTGTGCTTACCCCTACAGAAAGGTTGCGACGCAGCGATGACGTGATTTTCCAAGCTCTGTTGACCAAACAAACTATATTGTCCCAATTTTTACCTGGTGACAAGGTAAGATAACCAGTTTGGTACTTGAGATGTAATAAGTTGATTTAGAAGGGAAGAACTGAAGAACTTGAGAAGTTGACCGAATTACTGGGAGGCCTAGCTGTCGCAGATTTGAAGCAACGTGACTGCAAAGAACTGGCCATGTCGGCGATTGTACACGGCAACAGACTCTTGGACAGCATCAATCAGGGCATGTATCTTGAAGCGCCAAGTTGGTCATTGGGAAAGGTTGTTATTTTCAGGATTGAATGCCCGGAAAGAGGCTGACGAAGCAAATCCTGGCGGTTCTGTTTTAGTCTTAGATGATGCCGAGAAAGATTTGCCTTCGGTGCCTTGTTACAAGGTTAGTTTTTCCTTCGGCATCATTTCTGTGTTCTGTGAGAGAAAGCGTCAAATTTTTCTTTGACAGCATCCTCGAGTAATTGCGTGATAACTCCTATTGAAAATCCTTCTTCAGTTGACGGCGATTGCTGCTCCTCTGATGAACCACCTGAAAGCTTTGATGCAAGTAATCCAAGACCAACAGCAGGAGCTGAACACTGTGAAGCAACAACTCTATCATTACAAAGTCAGCATTCACTTTCACACAACAGCACTTGCACGCTGCAGCTCTGCAAAATGACAACTTTGGTATATTCATCGTTCTTGACTTCTTTGGATGAGCTGAGTCTGAACCTGTGTTTTGCAACTTTCAAGGATATCAGTAACTCGCTTTTGCGAACGTGTAAAGTGCTGCTTGGGCGGGTCGCGAAAGTGGCTGCTGGAGCCAATAATCC